CTCAAAACCCATCCTCTCCCCGCTGGCCTCCCCCTCCTGGCTCTCCCTCTACCTCGAGCCTCCCCTTCACTCATCCCAGACCTCACCCTGCCTCTGCCCATTGATGCCCAGCGCCCCTGGACAGAGTCCAACCCTCAGCCTTACTTGTCGTGACCAAATCCTTCGTCTGTCCTTCAAGGCCTACCTCAAATATCACTTTCTCTAAGATACGTTTTCTGATCTCCGGGCTAGGTTCTCAGCCCTCTCTGGGCTCTCCAGAGCCTCCTCAGTGATTGTCCATATCATGTTTTTTTTTTGTTTTTTTGTTTTTTAGAGAGAGATAGAGACAGCATGAGCAGGGGAGGATCAGAGAGAGAGGGAGACACAGAATCCGAAACAGGCTCCAGGCTGTGAGCTAGTTGTCAGCACAGAGGCCGATGCGGGGCTTGAACCCACGAACCGTGAGATCATGACCTGAGCTGAAGCTGGACGCTTAACTGACTGAGCCACCCAGGCGCCCCGGTTTTTTTTTCCTCACAGAGGAATGACTCTCCCCTTCCTTTAGCTCATACACCTCCCAGGGCTCCCCAGTGCCCCACGGAAAAAAACACACAGACCCTCAGCGGCCCCGCAGAGGCCTCACGTGCCTTGGTACCGCCAATCCCCAGCCCTTTCTTGTCTTACCACACCAGGCCCCCCAGCTTCAAGAACTCTGTACAGACTGTGGCCTCTAACTGGGGTTCTCTTTTCCTCTTCTCTGCCGGGCAAATTCTGACTCAGGCTCTTAGATACTGCAGGAGTCTCTTCCAGGAAGCCCTCAGCAATGCTGAGGTGGGCAGGGGGCTCCTTTGAGTTCTGGCAGCCACCTGTGTTGCCTCCGTTATAGCCCCCAGACAGCCTGGCTCGCCGCCCGGAGGCGGAGGGAATGGCCGGGCTGGAGGTGGGTCCCAGATGTGGATTTCATGCCCATTCGTCTCGGTCGCTGGGAACAAAGTTTGGGTCACAGGAAACATATGGGGCTCGCCCCGCTCCTCACTTTCATCTCCTACCTCCCTGGCCCTTGGGTGGGGGGCGACAGGGCCAGGACTCTCCAGGCCAGGGAGGTTCCCACAGTCCCTCTTCACCTCCTCACCTCGAGAGCAGGGAGAGAGAGCTGTTCTCAACTTCCGGTCTCTTAGGGAGGCCCAGCAAAACCTTCCAGATCTGTGTTCTCGCCTCCTGGGCTCTCCTCTCCAGAGGGAGGTGTGGCCACCAGGCATTTAAGTATATATATATATATATATATATATATATAATATTTAAGTTTCTTTATTTATTTGGGAGGGAGGGGCAGAGAGAGAGGGAGAGAGAGAGAGAGAGAGAATCCTAAGCTCAAGGGCAGAGAGAGAGGGAGAGAGAGAGAGAGAGAGAA